CCCCGGCATCGAAATGGGCGAGACAGAAGCGAAGGTGGTTCTTAAAGAGACAGAGGTCAATTTCAAGGCATTTAGAAGGGGAAGTGATGAGAAGATAAGTTTATTTTCTATTTAAACATAAAACAGCATTTTATGTTACGTTAATAACAACTCAAGGTGACATAAATACTTTATTATGGTATAGTATTTAAACGTATGCCTGAGAAACACATAATATTGCCCCTTTAAAGTATACAATTTTCATATATGATCTCAGTTGTAAGTCACTCTTCTACCTTTCAAGAAATATACAACAACTTTATATTTGTATTACTCAGGAATGTTGTGTTTAGAACAGTGCACTTGAAATGGATGGAAAATGAATAGTTTTAAATAGATTTTTGAATAGACACCCCCCCCCCACACACACACACACACACACACTCCCTACCCCACATGCTAAGTTTGCCACTTTTTTCATCCCTTTTAGGTTTGCAGGTGTGTAAACTACAATCAGACATCAGAGTTTCTCCTGATGTAGAGGTTTAAAATTCACCGGTGCACCTTCGGCTTGTGTCTGTCAAGCTATTGGGTTAGTTTGATCAAAAGATCTGTCAGAGTTTTTGTATATTTATTTATTCATTCAGTCATTCGTTCATTCATTCATTCGTTCATTCATTCATTCATTCAAATTTTTAATTTTACTGCTCATGCTTTCTTGATGCCATCATAATCTGCTCCAAACCCAACCTGTGGACTAGATGGGCACATCCTGGGATGGTATTCTATGTCTCTGAGAGGAACAGGAACTGTCTTCTTTAGGAGGCAAATTAAATCAAAGGGTTAGTTAGGGACTAAATCCCTAAGCCTTAAATCATTGCACTAAACAGTCACRTGCTCTGGCTTTTATTTTGATGGGCTGCTTCCACCAGTGGAYATTGGCTGCTTTGTGTAAAAAAATCTAAAGGTTCGTTGTCAACAAGATGGCAGCAGAACTTAAAGTGTTATTCAAGTCATCTATTGAAAATTCATGTATTTTTTTTCATACCACAATATTGCAAGGTTAGAAAAAAATTGTAATGTCAGTTCTTTTCACAATACTGCACAGCCCTACTTAACAAACTGCTGACAACCTATAAATAAAATAATTTCTATGTGTACAGAGACATAAATGTGTAATGTGTGTGGATGCTCAATAGATACATTTTGTTCTCTTTATACAATCTATTCCAATCTAATGGGATGCAGAGCGAGCGTTGAGCTGCTGTGATAATGTCTGTCACTGTGGGCATAAAGAGAAAAAGATAGAGAGCCTTTTTCCCCATTTCACATGCCAGGCAACTCCCAGTGGCCTCTCTGTTGACACAGCTTCCACAATAGAGACTAAAGGCCTCCCAATGCCTCCTATTATAATCCTAACCCCAGGCGGAGTCGCTGCCGTACAGGGTTACCCAGTGCAGGCCATCCAGCTTTGGCCAAAGCCGCCCAGAATATTATCCTGGATATATAAGACTACCCCCCCAAGCCCTCTAACCATGCTGCATTGTTCACGTCATTCTGCTCCCACAATGGGATATCACACTTTGGAAGTAATTTTCAAAAAAAAAAGAGGAAGCCAATCAAAAATAAAGGCACTTATTGTTTTCTCTTTTGACACACATTGCTGAGCTACCCAGCCCCTCCCTCATCTGTTGCTTTCTCTGTGTAGCCCTAAACCCCGGGCTTCATTCGCGGCCATTATACGAACAAATTAAATAAAACTCAGTATGGGATAGAAAGGGAAAGGAGAGCCTCGCTGGCCATCGGCTGGTGGCGTTGAGAGGGAAAGTCTGAGACGTCAGAGGAGATTTAAGGAAGGCAGGGGATGGTGCAGAGAGGAAGGGAAAATAGCTGCAAAGAACCAGAACATAGTTAACTTGCTCCTAGGTTCTGCTGCCTTTGGAAGGCATGGAACTATTAGCCTGAAAGAAAACTGTGATGGAAAAGGGATGATTCAAGTAAAGCAGGATGTTAGGTAAACAAAACAAATGACAGATCTTGCCTCATCTTTGGTGGACTAATTACCTAATTTTGGAGAACGAGCACTCATAACGGCTGCATGGATGAAAGGTATGTTACTGCTGCTGGCTCGAAGGTGTGTCTGTTGGGTGGTTTGGATTTGCTAAATAGACGTGGAGTTAGTATATWTTTTTTTTCTGTGAAACATACAATGCACGTCAAAGCTACAGCTGAAAACGAGTCTAATGCAATCTTTTGACCATGAGACAGAAAAGAGATTTTCAAGACATGATTAGAGCACAAAAGTCCTGAACGTTGGAAGGAAAAATAACATAATTGCATCCACTTGTAGCAGCGGGACTCTGCACAGCACCACTRTTCGAAACATAAATGTTCAGTGAGAAATGTTTTGGAGCATGGCTGTTTGATGGCTGTGTTTTTCTGAATTGAAAGAACAATGTCCTACCCCYTTCACCCCAATCACCTTTTCTGACAGACTGGGTTCATGGAAGGACTTGTGGAGTTCCTGAACTGCTTTTATTCTGATTTATATGAAGATTTTTAATCTGCATCATTAAAAAATATTGTTCAAATACCACTGGACAGAAAGAACACTAAGATTATTTTTTAACATTTGTCAGCAACCTAAATGAAGACAAACTTGGCTTTGGTTCTGAGCTTATTGTGGTATAGTTTGTGAGTGAAAGTACTCCAGGGATTGTGAGGGAAGGCCCGTGGATGCAAACTCTAACAAATCACATCTGCATAAGCTGCTTGTTACCTTCCAGATAACCTTTCCCTTGCTTCTAGTGTGAGAAGTTGGTATCAGAGTTATTTGTGCTCCTATTCTTAGCAGAAATAATACTTTTTATTAAAGTGTCTATTTCCCTGACAGTGCCATTTACAGTGGAGGAAATTCTTTAAAACCTTTCACAATAAGAACCCCAAACTAATGCAGGGAGTAATGAACTGAAAATATTACAATGTTTGATGTTCTTTAAAATAGCTAACAGTACCTTATAAACACAATGCTGAGTCTGTGTCCATGCTACAGACTGTCACTTATCCACTAGGTGAAATATTGACAATGATTATTGACAATATTGTGCACACAGTAAATATCGTTTTGTGTTTGCTCTGAAGACTATTCTATGGGTTACCTGGGTTAAATTAGTGTTTTAGAATTAGTTCTTGCTAAAAATTTCAGTGAATTAGTGCTTTAGGGTTAGTGCAACTAATTTTTAGATTAGTGCAACTCAACACTGCTAAACTTAAATACAAGAAGAAATTGCTTAATAATAATAATAATAATAATGATGATGATGATGATGATGATGATGATGATGATGA